ATATATATATATATATATATATGTATCTATGCAAAAATTAGCTGGGAGTGGCCAGGCATGGTGGCTCACGCCTGTAATCCTAGCACTTTGGGAGGCTAAGGCCAGCAGATCATGAGGTCAAGAGATCAAGACCATCCTGGCCAACATGGTGAAACCCCATCTCTACTAAAAATATAAAAATTAGCTGTGCGTGGTGGTACATGCCTGTAGTCCCAGCTACTCAGGAGGCTGAGGCAGCAAAATCGCGTGAACCCGGGAGGCAGAGGTTGCAGTGAGCTGAGATCACACGATTGCACTCTAGCCTAAGCAACAAGAGTGAAATTCTGTCTCAAAGAAAAAATAAAAAATGAAAGATGAGTTGGTTGTGTCACATGAAGAAGGCAGCATAGAACCCCAGGTAACTGGGCATAGGAGTGGGATTCCAGATACCAAGCCCACATTTTTGGGGTGAGACTGCCAATCAAGGTCTTTCTTCCATCCCTCACAGAGGAGTAGGTTTCTCCTCAAGACAAACCTAATTCTGGAGACTTCATATAATCTAGAAGAGATGAGCAAACTGATGAAAAATAGTGATTCTTTTTTTTTGCCCTTTGAGACACAGTCTTGCTCTGTTGCCCAGGCTGGAGTGCAGTGGCGCAATCTTGACTCACTGCAACCTCTGCCTCCTGGGTTCAAGCAATTCTCCTGTCTCAGCATCCCGAGCAGCTGGGATTACAGGTGCATGCCACCATGCCCAGCTAAATTTTGTATTTTTAGTAGAAAGGGGGTTTCACCAGGTTGGCCAGGCTGGTCACGAACTCCTGACCTCAAGTGACCTGCCCGCCTTGGCCCCCCAAAGTGTTGGGATTAAGCGTGAGCCACTGCACCTGGCGTAATTTTTGTGTTTTTAGTTGCCCAGTCTGATCTCAAACTCCTGATCTTAGTTGATCGGCCAGCCTTGGCATCCCAAAGTGCTGGGATCACAGGTGTGAGCCACCATGCCCGGCTGCAAATGTTTTTATGTTATAGAGAAGAACACAGCAGTGACTGCCACTCTCCAAATTGTGTCAGGGGTCACATGCAAGCAGAATTTGGCCTCTAATTTCCTCAGAAACCGTCCAATAAAAAGAGGTAACAGAGATTATCCTGGATTTACCAAAAAAACAAACACCAAAAAACAAAAAAAACAAACAAAAACAAAAGAGGTGAATAGCACCACCATATCCAGCTCCAGGTAGTTCTTTTTTTCTTGAGCCAGAGTCTTGATCTGTCGCTGTCACCCAGGCTGGAATGCAATGGAGTGCAGTGGTTCACTGCAACCTCCACCTCCCAGGTTCAAGCGATTCTGCTGCCTCAGCCTCCCAAGTAGTTGGGACTACAGGCGTGTGCCATCACGCCTGGCTAATTTATTTTTAGTTGAGACAGGGTTTCACCATGTTAGCCGGGATGGTCTCGATCTTCTGATCTTGCGATCCGCCCGCGTTGGCCTCCCCGCGTTGGCCTCCCAAAGTGCTGGGATTACAGGCGTTAGCCACCATGCCTGGCCCAGTTCTTTTTAAACATTGAAATTACAGATATAAGGACAGTATGTAGTATACTTTGTGCTTACTAAATAATAAATAACGTTAATAATTAGATCTAAAACACACACCTTAACAAATGTCTATATGTCAATAGATTATCCAGACACTGCTTTAAATGTTCAGCTACCTCTTAAAATTAACGGATGGTTTCAAAATAATGTAATCTCAAGGTGGCATACAAATGCTCCCTGAGTGATGAGGATACATGGTACTTTCTATAGGAAGATGTCACTATCAACAGAAAACATACTCTTTTAAGGTTTTGTTGTTTTTCCACTTAGCACTGATGGATTTGTACTAATTCTTTGCTTCTCTGGTTGCTAGATGGCTTTAGAATTGTCAGCTGAGGCTCTTGAAGAGCAAAACTAAACTACCCTAGTTGATTTAGACAGGGAAATAATCTGAGTTTTAGGATTATTTGCAGTATAAATGGTTTCAAATACTAAAGATTGGCAAAGAAGCATTGATAGTCCACTGAGAAGACTATCTAATTTCAGATTCCAGGTAGGTAGAATCACTTAAATTTAAAAGCAGGCTGTGTTGATATGCAAAACTTTGTTAAAGTTTATGTTTTGATCTTTAATTCATTTATTAGTTACTGCTATTATTTAGTAGGCACGTGCAAATGTGGTAAGCACTACATTTATTAGGAATACACTGTAAGGTCACAGGCAGTGTGTGGATTTTAACTATATTTAAAGTTTTCTTACCTTGAAACTTACTTGGCACTTGTAAACCTAAACCAGAAAGTTTAGCCCTTGATTATTTCCTTTTAAGAGACTCTTGAAAATTTTCCACAGCATCTAGTGATAGTGCTAATCCTAAAGAAAAACACCAACAATTAAGTATTTTTTTAACAATTAAGTATTAATTGTTGATTGATATCACCCTTTGATCAATTGTTTTCATCCTTTTTTTTTGAGACGGAGTTTCGCTCTTGTTACCCAGCCTGGAGTGCAATGGGGCGATCTCGGCTCACCGCAAGCTCCACCTCCTGGGTTCAAGCAATTCTCCTGCCTCAGCCTCCTGAGTAGCTGGGACTACAGGCACGCGCCACCATGCCCAGCTAATTTTTTTTTTGTAGTTTAAGTAGAGACGGGGTTTCACCATGTTGACCAGGATGGTCTTGATCTCTTGACCTTGTGATCCACCCGCCTCGGCCTCCCAAGGTGCTGGGATTACAGGCTTGAGCCACCGCGCCCGGCCTTTTTTTTTAAATTTATTTTTAATTTTTATTTTTTTTAAAGATGGGGTTTCACCATGATGGCCAGGCTGGTCTTGAACTCCTGACCTCAGGTGATCCACTCACCTCAACCTCCTCCCAAAGTGCTAGGATTACAGGCGTGAGCCACCACGCCCAGCCCAATTGATTTCATCCTGACTCAAGTGAAACCAGGTGGTTGGTCACTTTTTTGATTTAGCTTTTTTTTTTTTTTTTTTTTTTTTTCAATTTCTTAGATCTCAGGATATTTTAGCAGATTCTGGATGAGACAACAAGGATCTCTGACAACCATCATTCTCAGAATATGTCTGGCATCACTTCAAGTCTGGATTTCAAACATGACAGGGATGAATGAGGGGCAGCACCACTAGACTGACGGCTAGGCCCACTTTGCCGTCTCGGTATACTTAGTCTTTGTCTCACTTCCTAGCACAATAAATAATTTTTGTATTAAAAAAGCAGTATTTAGAACCACTATCTTCTATAATATAGAAAATCGAGTCAACTAGTAATGATCCTTTAAGTTGGCCTTCTGAATTAATAAGAAAATGTTTCCTGATAGTCTCGATGATATTTTGCACCATAGGTAGGATTGTAACTTAAAGTTAAATGACTATATACATTGTTTTTTATTTTTACCGACGGACCTGAGATGGGGCTAATTGAAAACATCTGGAGCTTAAAGACCCGTGCAGTTTAGCAGCGAGGATATAGCTCTGAATTTCAATAAATCAACATTTCACTATATATTGGCAATCAAAACTCAAAGCCTTTTAACAAAATGACCAATCCAGACGGAATCAAAACCGATGTAGTCCCAAAGCGGCACAGAGCTGTAGCTGCCAAAGCGTCCATTAAAATTCGTGCGTTCCAAGGAAAATTACTGCTCCTTAGCTTCTATCCATTTGCAAAAGTTTGATTTTTTTAGGCATTCTTCACACCTGTTAGGTTAAAATCAGCTTTCTTTTAAAAAAAGAGAACGAAACACCGGAAGCGATATGAGAATAGAATCGGCTCTTCCAGAGGCATCTGCAAATGACACTCCATTTTTTTTCCTCGTGCTGCAAAATGTACCGGTAAACCGGACTTTCCGGGACTCGCTGGGTGGCCGACATTTTCCCTAGCAGGAATTTTACGTTTCCGAGAGCTGAATGGATGTTAACGTCAGGCTAGACGCCAGGCAGGTCTTCATTGTCAAATTAAACAGCAGTGGGAGCAAGCGGAATAGCAGAATTCCCCTCCCTCACCCGAGCACCGGCAGCCAGCAGAGAACCGGGACCCCTCGCCCGCGGGAAGCCCCGATAGCCCGGCGAGCAGCGCCTAGGGCTTCCGCCTCCGGCTCCAGCTGGGCTCCTTTGGCCCGCCTCTGCGTCAGGGACGCGGAAACCCCGTAGGAGCAGGGCGGGAGGGGAGCGCGGCGTTTGAGTAACGCTGCAGCGATATTCTTCCGCCGCGAGGCAAAGAGTCCCAACCCAACCCTGGGCCCTAGGAGTTCCTGCGACCCTGTAATATCTAGAAATTACCACATTTGGATTTTCCTACCGACTTGCTTAGGATTTTATCCGAAGTAATGACCCCAGGATCACAATTTTGTGGCTGGCCGCAGCACGGTGAGAAAATTCCTCCGCGAGAAACGGGTTCCGGCCACGAGCCTATAAAAAACGGGTGGCGCGGTGGTGCTGTCTTTTCAGTCGGGCGCTGAGTGGGTTTATCGGATCATGTCTGGTGGCTCCGCGGATTATAACAGGTATGGCGCTCTGTTGGCGGTCGCGGTCTGTAGTGAAGTTCATAGGGCACCAGGGGAGGTGATAGTGGATGGCACGGAGACAAGAAACTAAAAATTGGTGGACGCTTCCTTGGGGTATAGCACCCCTGTGCCCTTCCCGAAGCTTCCATGATGGGTAGGGCCCGGATTGTGGGGAGACAGGACGAGGGTTCGGAAACTGGCCAAAGGGCGTTTTTCCTCCCTAAGACATGACAATTTCAGCTGCTTCCTCTCCCAGTGTAGAGGACAGCAAACAAGCAGCAAAAAGCCATGGCGCAGTCGCGTTCGGTACATTGTAACTAGGACCTGAACCTTTATTTTCGGTCAACCGTACGACTTGGGGGTCCTAGGCTTTCGTTGGCGGAGGGTTGGAGGCAGCGGTCTGCACTCGCCACCGCGCGGAGGCGACGGGACGGCACCGGCACTGGCGCCGGCGAACCGTTGGCTTCGCCTTCGCCGGGCCGCTCCGCCCGCGTCAATCACTCAGCTTGCGCATTGTTGGGGGCGGAGCTCAGCGCGCGGAGCTCTCGCGAGACGCTCCGCCGCCAAAACGGGAGCGCTCTGCGCTCGAGCCTTGGGGGCTGCTTTCCCAACCTTTAGAAAGGCGCACAGTGTGGTATTGGCCCTGCAGCGGCTCCTTTAGCTCGGGCACGGAAGGGTAACGTGCGGAGACGGGTTGCAAAGGGCTATCCCTTTAAGATGCAGTTACGGAGGCTTGGAAGGGATGATGTCTGACTGCAGTGTTATTGTCAGCAGAGAACATGGCGGCCCAGAGGGAATGGACCCCGATGGTGTCATCGAGGTAAGAAACGGTTTTGGATCTTGAAGCTTTGAAAAGGTGAGTGTGTTCATCTCATTTATGCGTGCATTATTTTTTTCTAACTTACAGAGCAACTGGAATGAGATTGTTGATAACTTTGATGATATGAATTTAAAGGAGTCTCTTCTTCGGGGCATCTATGCTTACGGTTTTGAGAAGCCTTCCGCTATTCAGCAGAGAGCTATTATTCCCTGTATTAAAGGTAAAAGAAACTTCGGCATTTTTAGGAAATGAATTTTTGTTTTTACATAGATCTGAACTATGAAAGGGAAAGTAACCTCTGGGGGACTAGCACCTGTTTGTATTCCTTAAAGTGAAATGATGGCAATCATCTTTCGGGACTGACCTGAAATGAAGAGAATACTCATTGCTGATCACTTGATTATTTGGGCATAATTCATGTTCCAAATGGAATACATGGTGTGAAGTAGAAGTGACAATTTGATGTGGGATCGGTAAATGTGTATCCTACTTTTTTTAGGGTATGATGTGATTGCTCAAGCTCAGTCAGGTACTGGCAAGACAGCCACATTTGCTATTTCCATCCTGCAACAGTTGGAGATTGAGTTCAAGGAGACCCAAGCACTAGTATTGGCCCCCACCAGAGAACTGGCTCAACAGGTATTGATAGTGTAGTTCAAAAAAACTGCTTGCGTGTTGCATAGGTTTCAGGTTTCACAACTGTGAAGAATTTAAAACTTAGTATAAATTGGTCCTACCAGATCCCTCCATTTAATTGTCCATGCATGCAGGGAGTTTTTGTTGAAAGTTTTTTAAAAGAACTGGGTATGCAGGTATGGTTTGTAGGATTGTATACGAATAGATTGAGAATCTGAAGCTCTCTGGATGTACTAGATCTGTCCCAATTTTTTAAGTTTGAATGCAGTTGTGCAACATGAAAACTGCAGTGACATGTTACCATTTGACTGTCTCCGTAGTTTGTGATGCATCTGTTGCATGCTATGTTTTCAAAGCTCACTGCTATATTGGCTTTGAAGTAAACCTTCCTAATAAAGCTGTAGGCTTTATTGAGGTCAAGATTATGTAGGGCACAATACCCTCTGGGGAAGAAAAAAGTCAACATTTGCCCTAGCTGTAATTACAGAACATGTATTTCACTATGTATTCCTTCCTACACACAGTGAAGTGTAATGTAGGAAATGTTATTCTTGAGTTGTCTAGCTGATGTGTAGGGTAACAGCATCCCAAGTCTGACAAGGCACAAGAAAGACTTAAGGGAATTTTACATTGAAGCAGTTAGGTCAGTCTGCATTTTAAGCTTGGAAGTAGATTTGTGCTGTGCATGCATAAAAGCTGTTGGCAGACCAGATTATATTTGCCATTATGCTTTAAAAATTAGTCTGATCCTGGAATTCTGCAGGATAATAATTAAGCCTTGGTTTTTAGATCCAAAAGGTAATTCTGGCACTTGGAGACTATATGGGAGCAACTTGCCATGCCTGCATTGGTGGAACAAATGTTCGAAATGAAATGCAAAAACTGCAGGCTGAAGCACCACATATTGTTGTTGGTACACCTGGGAGAGTGTTTGATATGTTAAACAGAAGATATCTTTGTAAGTATTTAAATGTATGATTTTTTTTTAACTGTTACATAGTTGAAAAGTCATACTATCACTGAGTAGATCTAGAAATGACATACGGATTTTTTCTAACAGCTCCAAAATGGATCAAAATGTTTGTTTTGGATGAAGCAGATGAAATGTTGAGTCGTGGGTTTAAGGATCAAATCTATGAGATTTTCCAAAAACTAAATACAAGTATTCAGGTAAGGATTATTTTACTCCTCTCTTAAAGGTAGAGATGTGGTTTAAGGCAGGTACTGTTAAAACACATCTGACATGTTTCATTATCATTCCCCCATTTCTGTCTTAACTACATTCCATAGTAAGAAAGATGCCTGGCTTCAAACGTTTTTCTTTGGGTATTACTGTGTAAGTTGTGCTTCAACATAATTGTCTCTTTTTAAGGTTGTGTTGCTTTCTGCCACAATGCCAACTGATGTGTTGGAAGTGACCAAAAAATTCATGAGAGATCCCATTCGAATTCTGGTGAAAAAGGAAGAATTGACCCTTGAAGGAATCAAACAGTTTTATATTAATGTTGAGAGAGAGGTAACTGTCTGATTGTTAGATGTTATTTTACCTTCTTGTATAAGCACTGTGCTAAAATTGCAGATACTAGGACTGTATCTTGGTTTTTGCAATAATGCTAGCAGAGTACACACAAGAAGAAAAGTAACAGCACTAGATTGTAAAGACTCGGGTGGACCTCTTTCTTAATGTCCAGTGTCCTTTGTCTTAAGATTTGGTGCAATAGCTCATTAGACCTACAGAATGAATTTAATTTCTAAAATTTCTGTATTACGAGACTGGCTAATTTTGCTATTTTTGGTGGAGACAGGGTTTCACTATCTTACCCAGGGTGGTCTGGAACTTCCTGGGCTCAAGTGATCCACCTACTTCCCAAACTGCTGGGAGTACAGGTATAAGCTACCATACCTGGGCCAGAGTGATTTTTTTTTTTAAACATTGGGGATGGGGGCACCTGGATTTGAACTGGGGCCAGAATGAATTTTTAACTGAAGAAAGTTGGAAACTAAATGGCTGTTAACTTTACTCTTCTAAATATAGGAATGGAAGTTGGATACACTTTGTGACTTGTATGAGACACTGACCATTACGCAGGCTGTTATTTTTCTCAATACAAGGCGCAAGGTGGACTGGCTGACTGAGAAAATGCATGCCAGAGACTTCACAGTTTCTGCTCTGGTAAGAGGTTTTCTAAATTAAAATGTCTAGATTTCCACTAAAGCAGGATTTAGACTACAATATAGCTGTTAAGTGCTGTGTTGTCGTTCCCCCTGCTCAAAATAACGTTGTTTCTTAACTATACCTGTCTGCTGTTCTCCTTGTAGCAGCCAGGGACGCTTGGTCTCATACATGTTAATTAGAATTAAGTACTGACCTGACTGGTGATTCTTGAATTAAGGTTTATTAATTTGCAGCATGGTGACATGGACCAGAAGGAGAGAGATGTTATCATGAGGGAATTCCGATCGGGGTCAAGCCGTGTTCTGATAACTACTGACTTGTTGGTAAGTCTCAATGCTTCTGAAAAATCTACCAAAAGTTAACTTTTTTGGGGGAAGGTTTATTATTAAGTAACCTTTACCAGCTTGGGCTATTTGGAAGAATAAAAGGCCACACTCCACAGTGGGCTATACCACTTATTATAGTTCGCTACTATTTTGTGGCCTACATTACACAGGTGTCCAGTTTTTTGAATTGTAATTTTTAACATAACGCCATTGTGTTTCAGGCTCGTGGGATTGATGTGCAACAAGTGTCTTTGGTTATAAATTATGATCTACCTACCAATCGTGAAAACTATATTCACAGGTGAGAAGCCAGCATCTTGGCTGTATTGAAAAAAATTTCATTTTTCTAATGCGATTTGTATGAAAGGGTAACGTCAAATCAAGGAATAGACTGAGTAAAGTCAATAGTGTTCTGTAAGATGTAATTAAATTTGTACTAGGGAAGGCCGAAGAGAACAAAGTGGGAAAACTTGTAAACATTGCCCAGATTGTGGGTATAGGTTGTTTTTTTTTTTTTTTCCACAATTGTTGGTCTTAGCTTATGCTTGAGCTTTTAGTGATGTTCTTGTGTTCATGTGCTTTTTCTTGGTGATTTTTCTATAGTTGGGATTTTCGTGATGTCGCCTGATAGCAATTTGAGTGAACCCTGGTTTAGTTATAGTGGCTTTATCCCTAAATAAATTGAATTGTACTTTGTTATATGATGTAAAAAAAGACTTTTTAAAAAATACAGGAGTCGATAGCAGCAGTTGATGACGAGATGGCACTCAGAAACGGCGTTGACGTAATTTAGGACGTGGAATCATAAGCGAAACAGCACACTGTTTGAATAAAGAGCGAGTCGGTATTTATATTTGTTTTTCTTTTGTCATGATTATTTGATTAAGTTGTTCCAGCTAAGGCATTTTGTGTATTAGTACTTCTATTAGGGAACCTTTCTTATTAGGTGGTTTGTATTGTCTGGTTTCTAACATGGAAGGTAGCTGTTTTAGAGGTTAAACACGTTTTGAGTAATTTGAGTTACAACGTGTGAAACTGAGCAAAAAAGCAGTGATAAGTTTGGGTTACCATACCAAATAATTGTTTTCCCACTGGAAAAAAGTAAGTTTTAGAAAATAGTTAACCATTGCAGCATTTGTTTACAGTTTACAGTTCCAGAGGTGCGTCGAAATGGATTACATAACTGCTCTTTGTTTTATTCCTGGTGTTTACATCTGTCCCAGGCTGACACCTGCTCTTGGCTGGCCCACTTTGGTATGGGCTTTAATTTCACTACCCCAAACACAATACTTGTCATCTGCTTTGTAATAATGCTCAAGATGCCTGATAAAATCTCATTTTGCAGCCAGACAAGCCTTGAATCCTTTTGGCACTAACTGCAAAGGAAGATTTTTTTCTCTAGATATTAGCAGCTAGTGCTCCAGTTAGAAGCACGAACTGTAACCTTGATAAGTAAACAGCAGCTGATGGTTAACAAGTGGATCCTCATGTTCAGTAGTTTATAAATCACATGAGAAGTAACATTCTGACTACTGTTTCTTTTTTCTTACACAGAATTGGCAGAGGGGGTCGATTTGGGAGGAAAGGTGTGGCTATAAACTTTGTTACCGAAGAAGACAAGAGGATTCTTCGTGACATTGAGACTTTCTACAATACTACAGTGGAGGAGATGCCCATGAATGTGGCTGATCTTATTTAATTCCTGGGATGAGAGTTTTGGATGCAGTGCTCGCTGTTGCTGAATAGGCGATCACAACGTGCATTGTGCTTCTTTGGGAATATTTGAATCTTGTCTCAATGCTCATAACGGATCAGAAATACAGATTTTGATAGCAAAGCGACATTAGTCGTGAGCTCTTGTGAGGAAAGTCATTGGCTTTATCCTCTTTAGAGTTAGACTGTTGGGGTGGGTATAAAAGATGGGGTCTGTAAAATCTTTCTTTCTTAGAAATTTATTTCCTAGTTCTGTAGAAATGGTTGTATTAGATGTTCTCTATCATTTAATAATATACTTGTGGACTAAAAGATATAAGTGCTGTATAAAATCAGCCAATTATGTTAAACTAGCATATCTGCCTTTATTGTGTTTGTCATTAGCCTGAGTAGAAAGGCCTTTAAAATTTTTTTAGAAAGCATTTGACTGCATTTTGTTTGGTATTGTATTTATTCAATAAAGTATTTAATTAGTGCTAAGTGTGAACTGGACCCTGTTGCTAAACCCCAGCAAGCAATCATCCTAGGTAGGGTTTAATCCCCAGTAAAATTGCCATATTGCACATGTCTTAATGAAGTTTGAATGTTAAATAAATTGTATATTCACTTTAAAGGTGCTTTTGGTCATTTTATTTTTACATTCCCCCATTTGCAAAAAAAAAAAATCCAGTATCTTATTCATTAACAGTTCTGAGATAACTGCTGCATCACAGTTGCACAAAGGCTGATCAGTTGTAAATGTTCATCAGCACCATCTGCTAGGCATTTGTCAACTTCCTGCAAGAGAAACTCAAATTAGCATCCTTCAGGTACAAATGTTTCATTGACATGTGCAAAGTACCTACTTACAGCAAGTCTTTCTGTAATAATGGACTTCTGTTTATCAGATAAGTCATTTTCTACAACCACATCGTGGAGTTGATTGACGAGCTGAGTTGCTGCATGACCCTCATCTATTAAGTCCTATAATTAAAAAAAATTTCTTTGGTACGATAACAATACTCCTTTCCCAAAAGTTAGTAAGCTGATTTTACCTTGACCACAGCTTCTAGTTTGTCGAAAGAGCCGCTCTGACAGGCAGCAAATACTCCATCGATTTTCTCAGCTGGTATTACCTAGGTAATGGAACGTTGGGTAAGACTAGACAGACTGCTAATTCGCCTCCCTGCCGCCAGTCCCATCTTCCACACTTGGAATACCTAGCTAATGTCTTGATCATGGTGCAAAGTTGAGAAGGCACTGGGAGAATGAGAAAGGAGGGCTAGAGTAACTCCAGTTACTAAGCAACCAAGGTGATAACAGCTAGCTGTGCTAAAGCCCTTTCATGGCTGCTTTGTGAAGTATATGAAACAATCTCCCAGGTTTGGGCACAAGTGGATTATTTATTACAGCTTCTGGTCAGTGGATGAACATTAAGGTTTCCCCCAGTGACTATAATAATTCCTCAGAACAGTGACCAAGATAGCCAAAGAGACTGATTTCTCTTTCCCTGAGAACGGTGAAGTGCCCTTTCTAAAATTTTTGCCAAGTAAAAATGTCACTAATGATATTGGTTTAAAAAGTCTACAATATCCAAAAATTAAAGAGGATTACCATTAATCTTAAATTTGTAAGTAGTAGTGATTCTGAGATGAGTTTTGACATGGGTATCCAAAGACGGAGTGTTCCATTTTCTTTAATGTTACTGTAAGTTGGATACGCCTTTTGTTTATATACAACTGGCAAAATAGTTTTCATGTATAAGAACAGGACATCTGCTAAAACTGATTTAACTGCCAAAGAAAAGCATCTCTTATAAAATCTAAAAACTGAAGGCCAGGCGCGGTGGCTCCCACCTGCAATCCCAGCACTTTGGGAGGCCAAGCTGGAAGGGGGCGGACACACAGATCACCTGAGGTCAGAAGTTCAAGACCAACCTGGTCAACATGGTGAAATGCCATCTCTACTAAAAATACAAAAATTAGCCAGATGTGGTGGCAGGTACCTGTAATCCCAGCTACTAGAGAGGCTGAGGCAGGAGAATCGCTTAAACCCAAGAGGCGAAGGTTGCAGTGAGCTGGTATTGTGTCACTGCACTCAAGTCTGAGCGATAGAGCAAGACTCCATCTCAAATAAATAAATAAATAAAATAGAGGAACTGAAAGTGTCCTTTTGTCTATTACATGCCTGACAATCTGAAAAGTCAGTGCTATCTCCTCACCTGAAAACACTCTGATACTCCCAGGCTGTTCCCTTATACTTCCTAGTGCAGTACTTGGCACATGCTAAACATTCAGTATTAGCTGGATGAAAATTTCCTAAAAGTCACAAAAAAAGCCAACTAAAAAGAAGTTCAGAATATCCAGTACTCTTACCCCAGCAATGTCTGTAATCACTTTCTCTGTGATCTCCTTTCCACCTGTTAATCGAGTAGCACTTTGAAGAAACGTAATGGCTTTTCTTAAGTCTCCTTCTGACACCTTAACAAGATAAGCTATTCCCTGAAGAGAAAAGAGTTGTTCTTAACCTATGAAGGTCAATTAAGGATTTATGACTTTAATTTAAAAATGTTTTAATAGAGGCTGGGTGCCATGGCTCACGCCTGTAATCCCAGCACTTTGAAAGGCCGAGGCAGGCGGATCATGAGGTCAGGAGCTCCAGACCATCCTGGCTAACGCGGTGAAACTCCGTCTCTACTAAAAATACAAAAGATTAGCCCGGCGTGGTGGCACACGCCTGTAGTCCCAGCTACTCGGGAGGCTGAAGCAGGAGAATCTCTTGAACCCAGGAGGTGGAGGATGCAGTGAGCCGAGATCACGCCACTGTACTCCAGCCTGGGCGACAGAGCGAGACTCTGTCTCAAAAAATAAAATGTTTAATAAAAGTGAAAACTCTATGTTTTAGTCTAGAGTTAATGAGAAAAAAACATTTCTGTTTTGGGAGGGAACATGATCAGTCCTACAGGGGCAGAAGTTATGGAGACAACATCAGCACAATGGAAAAGTAGAGATCTCTTGCTTCTGAAAGAAATTTGCAGAGATGAAAAAATGTTCCATATTCATCCCATTTTCTTGCTCACATAAAGCAAATTCAAATTATGGTTAAATTCTGTTATAATGAATAAGGGCCTTATGCTTCTATCAATTTTAGGGAAGTACTGAAGTATTAGCTAGAAGACTAAAATCTGGTCATCACGCAGAGATTTATGTTGCAGAATTTGCATTATATGTATGAAATCCACCTCAGTTGTGGGTCTCTGAAATATTAACAGAGAATTAACTCAAAAAGTAACAGAAAGGCTAAACCTTGTAATTCCTAGACATTTCAACTGTTGCTCCTTTAGCTTAAGTTTGTCTGAAGAACTGGCATCAGGACTGAGGCAACACATTTAACTCAGGTCCTCTTTATATGCATTAATGGAAGGAATTAGGAACCCTAATAATTGTAATAATTAGTAATTACCTCATCGCTAATTTTGACATTTTCCTTCTCAGCAATGTCTAGTAATCGCTGCTGTTGAATTTTATCTGACAGAGGCTTGAAGCGGAATTTTGAACATCTTGAAGTCAGGGGTTCGATTATGCTGTGGAAGATGAGAAAAACCAAGTTGGTGTCTAAAGAAAAATTTCCCCAAAAGAACCCATTTTTATCAAGAACAAATCACAATTTGATGGAGGAAAAATAATGTAGCCTTGGATAATTTAAATTTCTTTTCTCTAACTGGGTTATCAAAATAAGGCTGCCTAGCATCTATCTTCAGGACAATATACATACCGACTGACATAGTTACAGATAAGACAGAATCGGGTGGTTTTAGACTCCTTCTCCATGGTACGTCTTAAAGCTGCCTGAGCAGCTGAGGTCATAGAATCTGCTTCATCCAGGATTACAATCTTAAAAGGTGGACATGGCTTCCCACTGATTCAGAGAAACACACAGGAGTTGAACATTAGTATGTATATTGGCTTTAACAGCTTTGTTGAAATATATACATATCATACAATTCACCCATTTAAGTCATATGATTCAGTGTTGTTCTGTATATTCATAAAGTTGTGCAACCATTACTACAATCTAATTTTAGAGTATTTTATGTTCTAAAAGAAACTTTGGACCTATTAAGAGTTACTCTTCCTCCCCCGATCCTTCCCAGCTCTAGGCAATCATTAGTTTACTTCGTCTCTATAGAACTGCCTATTCTGGACATTATATGAATGGAACCATGCAATATGCGGTCTTTGTGGCTGACTTCTTTCACTTAATATATATATATATATATATATATATTTTTTTTTTTTTTTTTTTTTTGTTGAGACTGAGTTTCGCTCTTGTTACCCAGGCTGGAGTGCAATGGCGCGATCTCGGCTCACCGCAACCTCCGCCTCCCGGGTTCAGGCAATTCTCCTGCCTCAGCCTCCTGAGTAGCTGGGATTACAGGCACGCGCCACCATGCCCAGCTAATTTTTTTTTTGTAGTTTAAGTAGAGACGGGGTTTCACCGTGTTGACCAGGATGGTCTCGATCTCTTGACCTCGTGATCCACCTGCCTCGGCCTCCCACAGTGCTGGGATTACAGGCTTGAGCCACCGCGCCCGGCCCACTTAATATATTTTTTTAAAGAGACAGGGTTTTGCCAGGTTGGCCAGGCTGGTTGGTCTCAAACTCCTGACCTCAGGTGATCCACCCACCTCGGCCTCCCAAAGTACTGGGATTATAGGCGTCAGTCACCATGCCCAGCCCACTTAACATAATATTTTAAAGGTTCATCCATGTTGTAGCATGTGTTTGCTTCATTCCTTTGTATTGTCAAATACTATGGCAAATGGATATATCATATTTATTCATATATTAATCAGCTGGACATCTGGGTTGTTTCCATGTTTTGGCTATTAGGAATAATGCTGCTACGAACATTTTTTTTTTTTTTTTGGAGACAGAGTCTCGCTCTATCGCCAGGCTGGAATGCAGTGTGATCCTGGCTCACTGCAACTTCCGTTTTCCAGTTTCAAGCAATTCTCCTGCCTCAGCCTCCCGAGTAGCTGGGACTACAGGCATGTACCACCACGACCGGCTAATATTTTGTGCTTTTAGTAGAGACGGGGTTTCACCTTGTTGGCCAGGATGGTCTCCATCTCTTGACCTCGTGATCCCCCCGCCTCGGCCTCCCAAAGTGTTGGGATTACAGGCCTGAGCCACCACGCCCAGCCTGAACATTTGTTTACATGTTTTTGAGCAGGTATGTTTTCCAGTAGGCTGTACCATTTTACATTCCAACCAGCAATGTATGAGGCTTATCATTTCTCCACATCCTTGTCAATGCTTGTTATTTTCTGTATTTTTTATCACAGCCATCCTAGTGGGAGTTACATAGTATTTCATTGTGGTTTTGACTTTCATTTCCCAAATGGCTAATGATGTCGATGAGCATCTTCTAATGTGCTTATTAGACATGCATATATTCTTTGGAGAAATGTCTATGCAGATCCTTTGCCCATTTTTAATTGGGTTATTTGTTTTTATTACTGAGTTTTTAAAGTTCTTCATATGTTCTAGATATAAGTACCTTTTTAGATATATGATTTGTAAATATTTTCTCCCATCTTGAGGGTTATTATGTTGTGTACATTGATTTTTGGTAATCTGCCATTAAAATTTTTCTCCGTTCATTGGAACCGAGTCATTGAATAGAGAAAAAAAAGAAAAGAAAAAAAATTTTTCTCCCAACATAAGTGGCATTAACATAATTGTATGAAAATTATATCAAGAAAACAGATTTCAAGTATTAATGGTAGATGGGATCTCAGAGTCTCTTAGTCCACATCCCAGTCTTCATTTCACACAAAATAACCTCTCTAGGTTATTCTCATAACCTCTCTAGGTACTAGTACCTAGAGAGGTTATGACTGACTGTACCATCAATTCAAGGTGGATATTAAAAATGAGTCATTCACAAATTTTGAAATGTACTCATGTCAAATTTACATACATGTCTAGGTACCACCAATGTAATCGTGGACCTTTGCCACCTAAGGAGTATAAGCAGTTGATTAAATCCCTGTTAACCTCAGGCAGGATAGTCCTTTTTTTTTTTTTTTGAGATGGAGTTTCACTCTTGTTGCCCAGGCTGGAGGGCAATGGCGCAATCTCGGCTCACCGCAACCTCTGCCTCTTGGGTTCAAGTGATTCTCCCGCCTCAGCCTCCCAGGTAGCTGGGATTACAGGCACGCGCCACCACACCCGGCTAATTTTGTATTTTTAGTAGAGACGGGGTTTCACCATGTTGGTCAGACTGGTCTTGAACTCCTGACCTCAGGTGATCTGCCCGCCTTGGCCTCCCAATGTGCTGGGATTACAGGTGTGAGCCACTGCGCCTGGCCTAATCTTATTTTAATTATTAATATCTTCTTTCACTCCAAAAGTGTCACGGTTTGGGCAAGAACTTATATGGTCATCCCAACTATGAAATAAACAATGGAGCTCAAGGTATCTGACAGAAGGAGGGGTATACTTATTTCCCTAAGACAACTGCAAAAATGAGGATTCTGATCATTAGGTACAGTTTCATACCAAACTAAGGAATTCCATTAATAAATGTTCCTTAGACAAAAATCTCAGTAAAAACCTTCGATGGCTAAACAATTTAATTATTACCAGAGAAAGTCATTTTCGGGCTTAAAAAAATTAGATATAAATATGATCTAACATGAAAAGGGAGTTGACAATTTGGCAGAAATACACTTGATCTTAACCAAAAGGCTGAGAAGCGATGGCAGAAACACATATTTAAAATAATACATGCTATGGAGAAGGAAGGGCAAATTTACTTACTCTGAACGACTTCCTGACACAGTTAACTGAGCAAAATTTTTCACTTTCTCTCGAACTACTTGTATTCCACGTTCATCAGATGCATTTAACTCGAGCACTCTTAATCGAAAAAGTTCAGGCCTATCTCAAAATGAAACAAGTATGAAACATAGAGCATACAAGTAACCTAAGCTTAAATCACATTTTAACATTTGCACACTTTCCATGTTTAAAATCCACCTAGTAAACAGTATGGATATAAGGCACACAATCATGTTTGTATTCTCTCTTCTGCAGAGTGCTGCAGTTAACATTTTGGCTTTTTTCCATGCATTTAAAAAAATGTAGATATTATAACATAACATATAAAATGCCTTTTCTTTTTATGTTTTGGAGACAGGGTCTCGCTCTGCACCCAGGCTGGAGAACAGTGGCATGATCATGGCTCACTGAAGCCTTGAGCTCCTGGGCTCAAGTTATCCTCCCACCTTAGCTTCTCAACTAGCTGGGACTATAGGCACATGCCATCACATCTGGTTAATTTTTTTTTCTTTTTGTAGAAGCAGGGACTCACTATGTTGAACAGACTGGTCTCAAGTGATCCTTTCACCTTGGCCTCCCAAAATGTTGGGATTACAGGTGTGAGGCACCACACCTGGCCCCACATATGAAATTTTAAATCAATTTTCCACTTTGCATTTATAATAAGTATCTTGGCATATTATCAAAACCACTGTAAATGCCATTTTAATAGTCATATGATGTTCTATCCTATGACTGTACCATCATTTACTTAGCACTCTTCTATTGTTACCATCTAGATAGTTTTAAACGTTATCATCTTAAATAATGTTACAATATAGCACATTTTAAATTATTTCCATAGGGTAGTTTGCTATAAGGAAATTTACTGGATTAAGGAAAATTAATAGATTAAAACATGAACAGTTTTTAAAAGTCAGTTTTAATAAAAAGTAAAAGCATATACTAAAAGTAATATATGCTTACTGTAGAGAAATCTGAGAAATCAAAATAAAATAAACAAAAACAACTGGCACGCTGTCAAAGCACTGTTTTGAAACTTCCCTCTAGTCTTTTACACACACACACAACTTTTAAATAAAAATCAAGAGTTGTGATTGAGCTTCATCTCTATTTTTCCTAATCAGGATGATATCCTAAGGATGCTTATGAACATAAACATTTACATGCATGTATTTTCTATTTTAAAACACAACATTAAATATGGAATTCACTGTTAAAGTAAGTTCTTTAAAGACAAACATTATTTTATAAAGGATATAGAAAAAGTTACATAATCTGGACTGACTAAGTAATAAACAACTGCTAAGGCTGATATGGATTGGTTCTATCTCACTGAGTTGTGAGATCTTTCATAATTTTACTGAGAATCAAAAAAAGCTCTTTCATAATTTTACTGAGAATCAAAAGTTGCTGTCAAATAAAATTATTAGGTGCATAGCAGCTTCTCCCTTTGTCTTTTCCATTTGACATAACCAATTATCCTTATACCTTTGGTGACTTCAGGGGCATCTATCTATTTTCTTTTTTTTGAGACAGAGTCTTGCTCTGTCACCCAGGCTGGAGTGCAGTGGCGTGATCTGGATTCACTGCAACCTCTGCCTCCCAGGTTCAAGCGATTCTCCTGCCTTAGCCTCCTGAGTAGCTGGGACTACAGGCGCATGCCACCACGCCCAGCTAAGTTTTATATTTTTAGTAGAGATGGGGTTTTGACATGTTGGCCATGCTGGTCTGAACTCCTGACCTCAGGTGATCTGCCCACCTCAGTCTCCCAAAGTGCTGAGTTTACAGGCATGAGCCACTGTGCCCGGCCTATTTTCTTATGTAGGATTTCAGGTATTTCCATTGGTTGTATGCTCGATATTCATTCTGGATAAACTCAAGAAGGCCTTTGATATGTGTGTGCATGTTTCATGTATATCAGGCCTGGCCCACTACACATCTTTTTTTTTTTTTTTTGAGACAGAGTCTCACTCCGTCACCAGGCGCCAGACTGGAGTGCAGTGGCGCAATCTCGGCTCACTGCAACCTCCGCCTCCTGGGTTCAAGCAATTTTCCTGCCTCAGCCTCCCGAGTAGCTGGGATTACAGGCACGCGCCACCACGCCCAGCTAATTTTTGTATTTTTAGTAGAGACGGGGTTTCACCATGTTGGTCAGGATGGTCTCGATCTCCTGACCTTGTGATACGCCCGCCTCGGCCTCCCAAAGTGCTGAGATTACAGGCGTGAGCCACCGCACCTGGCCCACTACACATCTTTCAACTCTAGGTAAAGGGCTCCTCTAAAATGGCTGGTTAAACCAAGATAGTCAGTCTAGGAAGAGGAACCTAAGAAGATGACTTGCATGAAGATTTTCTGGTGTACCACCTACTCTGCTTACACTCAGGAGACCTGGGGGAAAAGAGCTGGCTTAGCCACTCCAGAGTCTGAGCCTAGGAAGTCCAGAGCAGAAGGAACTAAAGAATGGATGGTGTAAACAATACCATCAGATACAGCAGATTCTACCACTTGGTCACACAGATGCGAACATAATCATTAAGAGGGTGAGGCTGGGCGCGGTGGCTCACGCCAGTAATCCCAGCACACTGGGAGGCCAAGGTGGGAGGATCATGAGGTCAAGAGATCGATACCATCCTGGCCAACATGGTGAAACCCCATCTCTACTAAAAGTACAAAAAAGTAGCTGGGCGTGGTGGTGCGTGCCTGTAGTCCTAGCTGCTCGGGAGGCTGAGGCAGGAGAATCGCTTGAACCCAGAAGGCAAAGGTTGCAGTGAGCCGAGATCGCGACACTGCAATCCAGCCTCGTGACAGAGCAAGACTCCGCCTCAAAAAAAAAAAAAAAAAAAAAAAGGATGATAAAACTATCAGCACAATTGGAGATTAAGCTGGGCCCTTTGGACTCCAAAATTATAATGGAAAATTTAAAGGAAGTGATGGAAAAAATCATAGGCTACCACTCGAACAAGGTTCAGAATGGAGGTTACAAAAGATGCAGGCAAGCTAATTTCTTCAGGGGAGTGTCAGAGGAACAAAATGGGCTCATGGGATTTTTAAAATTCAGAATTAAAAAGAAAACAATCCTACAGAAAAACTCAATGTAAATTCTTAGAGGGAAAAAAAGCAGTGTCAGAGAATTTTGGTGTCAGATCTTAAAAAAAATTAAAAAGAGACTGATTTCAACGTACCCAAAGAGTTCTCTAGCTGCTGCCAAAATAGTGGATGTTTTTCCAGTTCCAGGTGGCCCGTAAAACAAGAGATTAGGGAGCTGTAGAAATTAAATTTTAGTTTAAATTTTAGTTTAAATGGTATTCTAGCACAAACAGATAAAAAGGATGACTGAAAAAATGTCTGTGGAATAAGGCAACTATAAAGATTTCTTAAGATAACTGGTATCATAGTACTGGCAGATCTAAATCCTGCTTTTTCATATACTATCCCTTTTTTCCCAAAGTATCTTATTTATTTATTTATTTGTTTAAGACAGGTTTCACCATGTTGGCCAGGCTGGTCTAGAACTCCTGACCTCAGGTGATCCGCCTGCCTCCGCCTCCCAAAGTGCTGAGATTACAGGCGTGAGCTACCATGTCCGGCCCCAAAGTATCTTTTTAATCTTGTAACTGAACTAATATTTATGCTTGCTCTATAGCTAATCCACTTAGAAATTTTCAAAGCTGGAATGAGAAACCTTTTATTTCTAAAGGGAATCTCAGTTTCCTATCCCACCTCTACACTCAATATTAGGTAAGATTTTATATTGCATAAAATGTCAGCTGCTTCAAAGGGGAAGCAGACCAAGAGAGTAATGAGATTTGGCCAAAACTGAAGAAAAAGGACTAAAAAAGATACAATTAGGGCTCTAAATGAGCAGAAGTACCAAGAACAGAAATATTAACAAAAAATTATGTACTCTGTAAGGATGCTTGCATGTAGCAGGGAGAATTCATTAGAAGAGGAAAGGATAAGATTAAATAACTAGCTACCTTCTTTCATAACTTATATAGCTAGTCTGGCTCCTATTAAGCAGGTAACTGATCTGTGGTGAAGATTAATGAGTGTCTTTATTAGAATTAATAAATTCTAATGAGCTCTGTTATGAAACCGTACATTCTTCAGTGTGTCCTTTCACATAAGGAAATCACTGTACACAGGAAACAAGGCATTAGAGTTTGTTTCCACTCTTGCCTAACCCTCCCTCTTCCTGTCCATTCATTCTTCATCCAAATCAGACACCACTCTGCTTGCTACTTAAAACTATTCACTGGCTTTGCACTCCACTTAGAAATACAAAGCAAACAAAAAAAAAACCCCAGCTTTTTACCACAGCCTAAAGGACTTTCATGGTCTGCCTACCATCTCCTTCACCTTCCAGGCTCTAGCTTACCAAGGCCTCTAACAACTTGGCACTTTTTGGCCTGAACATGTTGTTCCCATGACCTGGAGTCTGATCCTCTTCTTTCTGCCTGGCCAACTCCTAATGCATTACAAATCAGAAATCATTCAATCTAAAGCAGGTCTCCTTTCTTATTCTCTCATTAGTCTTTGTTGCATTTTGCATTGGTTTATTGTTATTTATTTAATTGCAGGGTTTAATTGTGAAATGTCTGTTTACTTCATTAAAAGACCAAGAACCTTATTCTATTCACATCTGTATCCTAGCATCTACTACAGTAGTCAGTATTGGCCAAATAAATGAATAAAGCAACACTCAGACAAGTTAATTAGAAGACTATTACTATTACATTCATAACATATAGCTTAAGGTACAATCTATGAGTTTCCTAAATTAAAAACAAAACACAAAAAGCCACCTAGCCTTCTTAGTAATTAAGGTCTATAACTATTATTTTGATCTGGGCATACCTTAACAATGTAACAATTCAACCAGGTAACTATTAGATACAATAATTTAAATTCTTGGAAACAGGGTAAAATTATTAAACCTTACATTACATACCAGTCTAATATATTTAGTATGTTCAAGAACTGTATGTGGAATACCAGTTCTTAAAATCAATTTTGGAAAAAATTATCATCTTATAATTCTTTAAAACTTTTCAAAGTAAATTGAATGAATTGTTTTCCTTTACTCTTTTTAATTAAAACAACTATTTCACCTCTTTACAAAACTTAGTCTGAAAAGATGCACAAAACATTAAACTGAAGTTCTTACTTCAGCCTCATAAATTAGAAGGCATAAAGTCAAGAACTAGATCTTAGGCTGGGCATGGTGGCTCACACCTGTAATCCCAGCATTTTAGGAGGCCAAAGCAGGCAGGTCACTTGAGGCCAGGAGTTCGAGACCAGCCTGGCCATCATGGTGAAACATCGTCTCTACTAAAAATACAAAAAGGAGCTGGGTGTGGTAGTGTGTGCCTGTAGTCCCAGCTACTTGGGAGGTGAAGGTGGGATGATCACTTGAGCCTGGGAGGCAGAGACTGCAGGGAGCTGAGATCAGGCCACTGCACTCCAGATTGGGAGACAGAGCAAAACTCTGTCTCAATTAAAAAAAACAAAAAACAAAAAACTACATTTGCTGAAGATACTAGTAATTAAATTACATATTTATTGTCCTGCAATATCAATTTAAAATCTGTGAAATTACTATGCAATTGCAATTGAAATGTATATACTGTTACCAAGATAGGCAAGCAGAATATATAAAAAAATAAAATGGTACACTATTTATAAAATTAAAAGGTATAAGAATATTTGTGTTATTTATTTTTTATTATTTATTTATTTATTTTTGAGACCAGAGTCTCACTCTGTTACCCAGGCTGGAGTGCAGTGGTACGATCTTGGCTCACTGCAACCTCCGCCTTCCAGGTTCAAGTGATTCTCCGGCTTTAGCCTCCTGGGTAGCTGGGACTACAGGTGTGCACCAGCAAGCCTGGCTACTTTTTGTAATTTTTGGTAGAGATGGGGGTTTCATCATGTTGACCAGGCTGTTCTCGAACTCCTGACCTCAAGTGATCCTCCTATCTTGGCCTCCTGAAGCGCTGGGATTACAGGCATGAGCCACCCTGCCCAGCCTAAAAGGTATAAGAGTATACGAATCAAATCAAAACACATACTGGTAAAGAAAAAGATTCTAAATGGTTTTGTAAATTTAACTTCTTTGAAAATGTGTACTGTAGTAATAAAATTTCAGTAAGAGAATGATGGCAGCAAAACCCAAAAGAACCTCTAATTAAAAGCAGTCAGTTTGAGGAAAAGGGAGCAAATCTTGAAAATAATGCAAAAATCACATCCCACTTCTCCACTTTGCTAAGCTGTTAAAGCACTTTGGGTATTCATCATAACACAACATTAAGTTGCTAATTCTTCACATGGATTTATCTTACCTCAGAATAATTTACAATGCAAGTTATTCACGGATATTTTATCCCCCATATCACAGCAGAAGAGAGTGCTACAAGCAGAGTTCAAAGCTTGATTTTTTTTTTTGTATTATAGGTAAATCCAAATCCTAAAGTTAGGTAAGCAATTATACTTTAGAGGAATCTCCGGCTCTTCTTTATAGCATATAATACTATCTATAATTATTTATTTGGTTTACTTGTTTATTCTATCTTTCCCCATCAATAAAAACCCACGAAGCTGAGCGTGGTGGCTCATGCTTGTAATCCCAGCACTTTGGGACGCTGAGGTAGACAGATCATGAGGTCAGGAGTTCCAGACCAGCCTGAACCAACATGGTGAAACTGTCTCTACTAAAAATACAAAAAATTAGCGGGGCATGGTGGTGCACACCTGTAATTCCAGCTACTCAGGCGGCTGAGGCAGGAGAATCACTTGTACCCGGGAGGCAGAGGTTACAGGGAGCCAAGATCGTGCCACTGCACTCCAGCCTGGGTTGCAGAGCAACACTTCATCTCAATTAATTCAAAAAAAAAAAAAAACCCCATGAAAAAAGGGGCATAGTGTGTCTTGTTCAAAGACTTTTATTTGAACACTATGTAACAATCCCATGTAAGATTAAATAGGAGATGCTCAATACATAGTTGAACTAATAATCATTGTACAAATATTATCAAGGACCTACTGTATATACAGCATGATATTTAATGAGGGCTAGAAGTTATAAAGGGAGGAAGAAGGTAAATAAGTTAAATCTTAAACATCCCAATGACATTCAACAGCATTTGCTACTCACATCGGCTCCTTCTAAAGACTTTTTTAGCACTGCAACCACTTCTTCCTGGAAAGCAACTTCATCCACACATTTTGGGCGACTTGTGGGGTGGGAAGGAGGAAAGATTTATTTAGTATATTATAGTAGCCACAGAAAAGTCTCAAGTGTTCCTCCTACTAAAATACCAATGACAATTCTCAAACATCAGCAATGAAATGAGAAACTTTCTCATAATTGGAATAGGTGGAAATCCCATTTATTTTTACCATTAAGCGAACACATTCTGAAAGAGTGAAATAATGTTTTACTTCCTATCTGAATTGCTTATATCTGCTATACCCACAAAAATTAAGCAAAAGGATTTTATTTTACATCCTGCAAACACTAACTAAAAATTAAAGTGGGACCAGGCGCTACAGCTCACACCTCTAATTCCAGCACTTTGGGAAGTCAAGGTGGGTGGATCACCTGAGGTCAGGAGTTCAAGACCAGCCTGACCAACACGAAGAAACCCCATCTCTACTAAAAATTCAAAATTAGCTGCAAGTGGTGGTGCACGCCTGTAATCCCAGCTACTTGGGAGGCTGAGGCAGCAGAATCTCTTGAACCCGGGAGGCAGAGGTTGCGGTGAGCTGAGATTGTGCCATTGTCCCCCTTCCTAACAAAAAAAATAAAACTCCGCTTCAAAAAAAAAAAAAAAAAAGAAAAATTAAAATGAACACTTTGCTTAGAAAGCATTATTATTGGCCAAACATGGCAGTTCATGCCTGTAATGCCAGCACTTTGGGAGGCCAAGGCAGGCAGATCACCTGAGGTTAGGAGTTTGAGACCAGATTGGTGAACATGGTGAAACCCCATCCGTACTAAAAATTCAAAAAAAAAAAAAAATTAGCCAGGCATGGTGGCACATGCCTGTAGTCCCAGCTACACGGAAGGCTGAGGCAGAAGAATCATTTGAACCCAGGAGGCAGAATTGCAGTGAGCTGAGATTGTGCCACTGCACTTCAGCCTGGGCGACAGAGCCAAATTATCTCAAAAAAACAAAAAACAAAAAACAAACAAAAAAACCCATTATTATATTTTGACAAAATAAGATCATGAACCTAAGCTGAAAAGGGAAAACTATTTAGTAACCTTAGGATAGGTAACTATTTTGGTTAATGTAGTTACATATATACTTAGTATGTTATTAACTAGTTAATGCCAATTTTTTCCATAATCAAACTGCACAAAACAATGAAGATCTATTCACTTCATTGAGGGCTAATAAAAACAAGTTTAACCAATAGGAAGTATAATATTTTCATATCACATCACTGATTTTTAAGAGACGCTATAACAAAGTTATACTCCCAACCCTAAGATTAGGCTTTGTGCTTAGTTAACTAATCAAAAATTCTTTGATCTATACTTTTCTGATAAATCAAGTTAACACTAGGTAGGAATTATGATGTTTTTCTAGTATATGTTATAAAGCAGAGTCTTATATTCAAATACCGGGGATTAAGCAGATAACAAGAGTGAGGAAGGCAGAGAATAAGGCAAGATATAGTAGGGACCATGGCAAACTGAGGAACACACGACCCTTCCAAAAGGAGAAGCAGTACACAGTCCATATAATTGTTGTCATGTGAGAACCTGTCTCCAGTGTTGCCTGATCTCCTGAGAAGCGGAAAATCCAGACCCTCCTCCAAATAATTTAATGTAAAAATCTAGATTTTCATGAACTTTACTAGTGCCAAACAAAACATATGAGGGAGTCGGATGTGGTGCCTCACGCCTATAATCCCAGCAGTTTGGGAGGCCGAGGAGGGCAGATCACCTGAGGCCAGAGTTGGGGACCAGCCTGATCAACATGGTAAAATCCTGTCTCTACTAAAAATACAAAAAAATTAGCCAAGCGTGGTGGCACATGCCTGTAGTTCCAGCTACTTGGGAGAATCACTTGAACCCGAGAGGCAGAGGTTGCTTGGCTGAGATCATGCCACCGCACTCCAGCCTAGGCGGCAAAGCGAGGCTCCATCTCAAAAAAACGGAAAACCAACCAACCAAAAAACACATATGGGGCCTTACTTGACCTTTAAGCAATCAGTAAACCTTGGTAATAACGAAGGCTACATCCAACCAATGGTGACAATTACTTGTGGTAATATCACTTAGCTGACCGACAACTTTATTTATTTGAGACAGTCTCTCTCTGTCACCCAGAATGTATTGCAGTGGCGTGATCTCAGCTCACTGCAACCTCTGCCTGCCTCCCAGGTTCAAGTGATTCTTGTGCCTCAGCCTCCCCAGTAGCTGGGATTACAGGTGCCTGCCAACATGCCTGGCTAATTTTTTTTTTTAGTAGAGAGGGGGTTTCGCCATGTTGGGCAGGCTAGTCTGGAACTCCTGGCCTCAAGTGATCCTCCCACTTAGGCCTCCCAAATTGCTGGAATTATAGGATTACAGGCATAAGCCACCGCGCCAAGTGCTGACTGACAATTTAAATGCCAATTCAAGTGTTGTTTGAACAAAAATGTATGAGCTAACCAAAACTCAATTTCCAGAACTGGATGCAGTGGCTCATGCATGTAATCCCAGCACTTTGGGAGGCGGAGGCAGGTGGATCACTTGAGGTCAGGAGTTCGAGATCAGCCTGATCAACAGGCCGTCTCTACTAAAAATACAAAAAATTATCCAGGTATGGTGGTGGGTGCCTGTAATCCCAGCTATTCGGGAGGCTGAGGCAGGAGAATAGCTTGAACCCGGGAGGTGGAGGTTGCAGTGAGTTGAGATTGCAACACTGCACTCCAGCCTAAGTGACAGAGTAAGACTCCATCTCAATAACAATAATAATTTCCACCTATTGTAATGGAAAGGGAGAACAGATTACATATTTGGATTTAAGTAGAACTCCTGATCAAGTAGTCATAGACAGCTTACAGAAATTTTTGTTTTCTTCATTTGTGTATCCCAGACCCTAAAATGGAAGCCTCTACTTGTAGACATATTAGTTAATCTCCAAAATAAGGGAATTAAATTATTCTCAGGTAACTCTAGTTCCAGGGTTCTATGACTTACATAGCTGTGTGATTTTTTTTTTTTCAAAACCAACAACTAAAGAACAAAGAGTTTCTCCCATAAGTTAGTTGTATTTGAAAAAAAAAAAGTACCAATTAGGCGAGGTGGCTCACGCCTGTAATACCAGCACTTTGGGAGGCCGAGATGGGTGGATCACTTGAGGTCAGGAGTTCGAGACCAGCCTGACCAACATGGAGAAACTCCATCTCTACTACAAATACAAAATTAGCCAGGAATGCTGGTGCATGCCTATAATCCCAGCTACTCAGGAGGCTGAGGCAGGAGAATTGCTTGAACCCAGGAGTTGGAGGTTGTGGTGAGCCGAGATCGCGCCATTGCAATCCAGCCTTGGTGACAGTGTGAAATTGTCTTAAAAAAAAAAGTGATCAGAATTGGTTAGAGAGATAATTTCTTAAGTATTTTAACAAAGACACAAGTGTTCTTACTATTTTTCCACCCAGGGAACAGGTTTGGCTTTCTTGTTCTCTCCACTACTTCCCGCAGTGGCAGCTACTCCACGATCCTTGGTCAGCGGTGGTTTGGTGCTGATAGATGTGCCTTTAAGAAATGCCTGCATGGTTACTTCACCCTGGTCAGGTGCAAGACACAAACAAAAAAAGCTTTTTTTGAAACGATTATGAGAATCAGCACCGCAGGAAAGGGGGGAAAAATTATGAGAAAGTACAGCCTGAAGGCTGGGCACGGTGGCTCAGCCTGTAATACAAGTACTTTGGGAGGCCGAGGCAGGTGGATCACTCAGGAGTTTGAGACCAGCCTGGCCAGCTACCTGGGAGGCCTACGCAAGAGAATCACTTAACCCTGGAGGCAGAGGTTGCAGTGAGACGAGATGGCGCCACTGTACTCTAGCCTGGGCGACAGAGGAAGACTTAGTCTCAAACAAACAAACAACAAAAAAAGGAGACACAGTACAGCCTGAAAGCACACTTAGCCTTGTGCAAAGGTGTCCTTAACAAAGGACATCACCCCATGACCTGCGCCACTCTGAATGTGCTGTACTGAGGTCTATAAGGACAGAAAAGCGGTCAAAGTCCTTAAGGAAATTAGAATCTATTTCTAGTGCAGGAGTTACAGAACAATGATCCTATGTCACAAAAATGTTTAATGACTTTCCAATGCATTGTTAAATATGATGCTGCTAATGACCAAGCCACATGGGCCTCCATGGTTTCTTTCAGTCATGGGCCTAGCTTTAGCTCAAAGCCTGAAATGGACTCTTCCACAATTAAAGGTGCTGGGCTCATACCACAAATGAGAACCTTCACTCCTTTCCTTGGGCCAGAATTCACTCAAGTACCCACTCCCCACAACTTTTTTTTTTTTTTTTTGAGACAGGGTCTCACTCTTCTGCCCAGGATGGAGTGTAGTGGTGCAATCATGGCTCCCTGAAGCCTTGACATCCCAGGCTCCTGTGATCTTCCCATTTCAGCCTCACCAGTAGCTAGGAATACAGGTGCATACTACTGCCTACCCACCTGCCCGCAACCGGCTAAGTTTTTAAATGTTTGATAGAGACAGGGTTTCACCATGTTGCTCAGGCTGATCTGGAACTCCTGGGCTCAAGTAATCCTCCTGCCCCAGCCTCCCGAAGTGCTGGGATTACAGGTGTGAGCCACCGTGCCTGGCCCTGGACCTGTTTTAATGACAGTTAATGCCTACCTACCTTCAGAGACTTTCTGTGGGGAAGGGAAGGGGCGGGCAGGGGCAGGGCGTGGGGAGGGGAGGGAACGACTCTGTTGTTAAAATAGGAACAGCTGTTTTTCTGATAACACACTCACTTAATTAAAAAAAAAAAAAAAAAGCAGAAAGCATGAGGAATTTAAGAAATGAATACAAAATCCCACCCAGAAGGCAACTATTTCTTCAACTCCCGACCTCTAGTGATCCATCCGCCTTGGCCTCCAAAGTGCTTGGATTACAGGCGTGAGCCACCATGCACGGCAGAAGGTAACTATTTCTAATATGGAGGTAAACATTCTTCCAGGCTGTTTTCAGGGATAAAAAGCATCATTAACTTGCCTGAAAAATCCCCAGTAATTCTATGTTTTTCACTGCTACATGCCCTGGTGCCTAGAACAGTGTCTGGAACATGGTAGATAACCCATAATACTTGGTGAATGGGATGGGCGCGGTGGCTCACGCCTGTAATCTCAGCACTTTGGGAGGCCAAGGCGGGTAGATCACACGGTCAGGACCAGCCAACATAATGAAACACTGTCTCTATTAAAATACAAAACAAAAACAAAAACAAAAACTAGCTGGGCGTGATGGCACGCGCCTGTAGTCCCAGCTACTCGGGTGGCTGAGGCAGAGGTTGCAGTGTGCCAAGATCGCGCCACTGCACTCCAGCCTGGCGACGGAGCAAGACTCTGTCTCAAAAAAAAAAAAAAATTGGTGAATGAATTACCATCTATGACAGCCGTTTTCCTTTTCTGTTAAAGCAGCTAAGGCCTATTCCACAGCACAAGTGAGTTAAATAAAAGAATGTGTGCAAATATATAGTTCTGTGCTTGGCATATGGGGATATGCTCAATAAAATAAAACAAAATACAATAAATTTTTAATATCTGTAAACAGCCAAGGTTTTGATAAGGTTATTGGATTAGTCCATCCCTGCCTCCTGCTGTTAAATAGTAATACAGCCCTAAGCCGGGCTCTGCAAGACGCTGTCCGGAACCCCCATTTCACCCCCAAAGGGCGCGGCCAGGGCATGAAAGGGCGGCTAAGCTGGGGCCCCGAAGGAGGTGGCAGACCTCACAGGGACATCAAGGAAAGGAGTAAGGAAGGCGAAGCGGGCATGCAGTTCCTCCAGCCTGTCACCAGTTAGCCTGGCTTCCCGAGCAGGTCACTGCCGCGGGCTCGTTCCTGAGGCTTCCGCGATATAAAAAGGACGAGATGGTCTCGAAGTCTTAACTCCGTCACCTAATCTGAGAATAATGGGCCCAGGGGACTTACGATCACCGCTGTCCCCACAAGTCGCCTCAGTTCCCGCCACGAAACGGCAGGCGAAGGGCATGGTGGGAATACGCCGGCAGGACTACGTGGGCACGTCAACGTCACTTCCGGTCCGGGTGCGCGATGCCGGCGGAGTGAAGGGTTTGCAGTTTTATGGTTTCACTTGAGCGGGTGATGAACCAGACAGTCTTTCAGGGAGAATTGGACTGGAACAGGCACGGCCTAGAAGGTGGAAATACAGTTTCGTCCTGTCCCGGCACATTACTCCCGCTTGAGACGGGAGCGCGAGGGGTCGCGCGGGCACGGCCTTGGGGCCGTTTACCGGGCATGCTCAGCAACGAGTGATGGGCGGCGGCGCGCGGGCCTCGGGAGCCCGCTCTCTTCGTGGGTGCAGGTCCCTGTCCTCCCTGTCCTGCTTCGCCGCAGAGCAGAACGCGTGTACTTCAAGGGCAGAGACACCTGAAGAAGATGCCTTGCCTTGCCCTCTGGAGGGTACGTGGCTTATACTTCTAATGGTGTCTACCTGTTGTGGCAAGGGAAGACCATGCAACTGTGGGCATCTATTGTAATTCCTGGGCCCGATTTAGGAATCTGGAAGTGCAGGCGTTCAATAAAAGTTAAAGGATTGAGAATCATGTTTAACCCCACCAAGGTTCATGCACTGTGTGGGCTCTCGGCAGGTGTCTAAGGCCACGGCTTTTTTTTTTTTTTTTTTGAGGCGGAGTCTTGCTCTGTCACCCAGGCTGAGGTGCAGTGGCGTGGTCTCGGCTCACCGCAGCCTCCGCCTCCCAGGCTCAAGTGATTCTCCTGCCTCCGCCTCCCGAGTAGGTGGGATTACAGGAATGCGCCACCACGCCCGGCTAATTTTTTTTTTTTTTTTTTAGTAGAGACGAGGTTTCACCATGTTGGTCAGGATGGTCTCGAACTCCTGACCTCATGATCTGCCCGCCTCGGCTCCCAAAGTGCTGGGATTGCAGGCGTGAGCTACCGTGCCCAGCCAAGGCCACGGTTTTTAATCTTTTCCAAGTACTTGGTTTAGCTCTAAATTGCTCCTTAATCCTATTGAAACCTGACCCTTCTCAAAGGCCACCTTCTCCACAAGCCTTAGCTAATTACTAACCCATAAAGTTGATCCAGATCTTCATCAAATGAATGACTGTTTTATTTGGCACAAACTCACCAATATATCCTTGTTAACTTTACATGTTTGTTCATTTATCCTGCAACAAATGCTTACGAAATGTCCACGCACTGTGCTAGATGGCTGCAGATACAGCAGGGAAAATGCTAAAAGATGTCCTCAAATAGCTTTATTGACTAGGAGGGTGGCGACAGACAATGTGATACATGGTCATGCAGAAGAAGTAGAGGGCTGTGTGAACTTATATCCCAGGCCTAACCCAGTGAAGGGCTTAACCACAGTAACCAAGGATGCTTTATTCTGCTTTGTAACTTCACAGGGTCTGATACAATCTCTGGACAGTATAAAAAGCACACAGGTTACCTATATGGTCACTGGCTTAACATTACCATAACTCATCAAACTGTATACTTAATGCTTGTACATTTTATTGTATGTAAATTATACTGCAGTAAAGTTGATAAAACAGAGATCTTTGAAAATAGTCGGTACCCATTTGCTACCTGAACAAACACCACAACCACACAGAGGGAGATGTTACGATCCCATTTAACAGACAAGCTGGTCCAGGTGCGGTGGCTCATGCCTGTAATCCCAGCACTTTGGGAGACTGAGGAGGGCGGATCACCTGAGGTCAAAAGTTCAAGAGCAGTCTGGCCAACATGGCTAAACAAGTTCTCTACAAAAATATAAAAATTAGCTGGGCATGATGGCAGGTCCCTGTAATCCCAGCTACTTGGGAGGCTGAGGCAGGAGAATCGCTTGAACACAGGAGGCAGAGGTTGCAGTGAGCCAAGATTGTGCCATTGTATTCCAGCCTGGGTGACAGAGTGAGACTCTGTCTCAAAAACAAACAAAACAAAACAGACAATCTGTTGGATAAGGTGGTCTTCGTCTATTTGGGCTGCTAGACAACCATAGACTGGGTGACTTATAAACATCGTAAATTTTTTTCTCACAGTTTTAGTGGCTGGGAAGTCCAAGGCCTTTAAGTCAGTGACTGGTGAGGGTTCACTTCCTCGTTGACAGCTGTCTTACTACTGTAACCTCACTTAGTGGAAGGGCTAACTAGTTTTTTCAACTTGTCTCCTTCATAAAGGCATTTCTCCTATTCATGAGGGTTCCACTCTCATGACCCAGTCACCTCCCAAAGGCCCCACCTCCTGATATCATCACCGTGGGAGTTATAATTTCAATATGTTAATTTGGGGGGGTGGGGACAAACAGACTGCAACAAAGGTTAATAACAAATAAGTGGCAAAGCCAGAATCTGTATCTTGGACTGTCTGACTCCAGACTCAAAGCTTGTGATCAGTCACTGGGCAGGTCCAGGACTGGCATGGAGGTGACTCAGGGTTAAATAGAAAAGAGAGACCTGGCTGGGTGCAGTGGCTCAACGCCTGTAATCCCAGCACTTTGGGATATGCTGAGGCAGGCAGATCACAAAGTTAGGAGTTCAAGACCAGCCTGACCAACATGGTGAAACCCCCGTCGCTACTAAGAAAATATAAAAATTAGCCATGCATGGTGGAGTGTGCCTGTAATCCCAGCTACTCAGGAGGCTGAGGCAGGATAATCACTTGATCCCGGGAGGTGTGCGCTGCAGTTAGCCGAGATTGCACCACTGTACTCCTGCCTAGGCGACAGAGTGAGACTCCTAAAATAAATAAATAAGTAAGATAAAATAAAAATAGAGAGACAGGAGATCTCCCCATGTTTGTTTCCCAGGCTAGTCTTGAACTCCTTGGCTCAAGGAATCCTCCCACCTCAGTCTCCCAAAGGGCTGGGATTACAGGTGTGAGCCACTGCCTCTGGCCCTGGATTATATATACACATTGTTTTTTTTTTTTTGAGACAGTCTCTCACTCTTTTGCCCATGCTGAAGTGCAGTAGCACGATCTCAGCTCATTGCAACCTCCACCTTTTGGGTTCAAATGATTCTCGTGCCTCAACCACTCGAAAAGCTGGGATTACAGGCACATGACACCACACTTGGCTAACTTTTGTATTTTTTTTTTTTTTTTTTTTTTTGAGACGGAGTTTTGCTCTTGTTACCCAGGCTGGAGTGCAATGGCACGATCTCGGCTCACCGCAACCTCCGCCTCCTGGGTTCAGGCAATTCTCCTGCCTCAGCCTCCTGAGTAGCTGGGATTACAGGCACGTGCCACCATGCCCAGCTAATGTTTTGTATTTTTAGTAGAGACGGGGTTTCACCATGTTGACCAGGATGGTCTCGATCTCTTGACCTCGTGATCCACCCGCCTCAGCCTCCCAAAGTGCTGGGATTATAGGCGTGAGCCACCGCGCCCGGCCTAACTTTTGTATTTTTAGTAGAGACAGCATTTTACCACATTGTTCAGGCTGGTCTCAAACTCCTGACCTCAAGTGATTCTCCCACCTCAGCTTCCTACAGTGCTGGGATTACAGGTGTGAGCCACTGTGCCCAGCCTGGATGATATTTTATAAGGCCATGAGGAAAGGAAAAGACTTGGGTAGCAAATGAAAAAAAAGAGAGCTATCAGGAGTGGAAAGGATCAGAGTGATGATAGTGTCATTCTGAAATAAAGTGCAGGCTGAGTGCAGTAGCTCATGCCTATAATCCTAGCACTTTGATAGGCCAAAGTGGAAGGATTACTTGAGCCCAGGAGTTCAAGACCAGTCTGGGCAACACAGCTGAAACCCCCATCTCTACAAAAATAACAAATAAATAAAATAGAAAAAAAATTCTGAAAATGCAGCTGTTGTGGATATGCTGGTATGCTACCTTTCAGGACTGAGATACCCACTCCCGAGCTGCCGGGAGGGTTGAAAGCTAACAACTCTTGAATGAGTCCTTGTCCAGCAACTGTCTTCAGCCAACAAAACCACTTTACGAAAAATTGCGTTCCTTTCGTTGGGGCAGCCACCTCCAAGGGCTAGTCTAGGAGGATGCTATAGTTTGGATGTGGTTTGTTCCCACGCAAACTCATGTTGAAGTTTAATTGCCAGTGTGGCAGTGTTGGAGGTGGGGCTAGTGTGAGGTGTTGACTCATGGGGGTGGACTCCTTGTGAATAGATTGGCATCATTATCAATGTAGTGAGTTCTTGTTCCTAGGAAACTGGATTCGTTCTTAGCAGAATGGATTGGCTCCTGAGAGAGCAAGTTTTTTTTTGAGATGGAGTCTAGCTCTGTTGCCCAGTCTGGAGTGCAGTAGCATGATCCTGGCTCACTGCAACCTCTGCCTCCTGGATTCAAGCGATTCTCCTGTCTTAGTCTTCTGAGTAGCTGGGATTACAGGTGCCTGCCACCAAGCCCAGCTAATTTTGGTATTTTTAGTAGAGACACGGTTTCACTGTGTTGGCCAGGCTGGTCTCAAACTCCTGATCTTGTGATCCACCCGCCTCGGCCTCCCAAAGTGCTGGGATTACAAGTATGAGCCACTGTGCCCGGCCGAGAGCAAGTTGTTATGAAGGGGGTCAGCCTCTTTGATCCCTTCACTCAGCACACACCTGCTCACCTTTCTGCCTTTCCTCCATGTTATGAGACAGCATGAAACCCTCACCAGCAGCTGAATAGATGCTGGCGTCATGCTCTTAGACTTTCCAGCTACCAGAATTGTGAACTAAATAAATCTCTTTTCTTAATAAATTACCCAGCCTGACTGTCTGTTATAGCAACAAAATGGCCAAAGACAGAGGGGTATAAAGGTTTAGTCCCTTTGTCTTAAGGTGGAACAATTCTTATGCATTATTCAAACTCCAGATCTTAGTTGTACCTGCATCACAATACAACTTCTGCTCAGTCCTGCCTCCCTCCTCTTTCTCATGTGTTGTTTCTTAGAGTACCACACCATTAAAAGCCTGCATGCAAATTGCAAAATCTGTTTCCTAAGGAATCCAACCCAGAAGTGGTCCTTGAAAAAGGCTCTAAGATGGAATTTTGAAGCTGTATCCCCTCCCAATCTGTTAGTGATGGAAACTCCATCACTGGTGGTAGTGGAGCTCTCAAAGCCCCTGGCATCCTGTGGCAGTTGTTAAAATGTTCACCAGTGGCAAACTGGAAAGGGGTGCCAGTGGAAGGAAGTGCACAGCAGATGTAGTATCTCAGGGGTTTTAAGAAAGAGTAATTATAAGAACTTTGGAACTGGGTGGACATGGCGGGGGGGT